CCCCCCCGCCCCCCCCGCCCGCCCGGGGCGGGCGGCCCCCCCCCCTGCCACTGCTTCACAGGCCCTCGTGATCTGACCTACTTCTGAGCGAAGCCTTTCATCTGCCACGCAAACATCCGCCACTTTGTACGCTCCGCCTGCTCCCTTCCTCCCAAAACAGCCAAGGCAGGCGGCCCCAGCCTCCCCTGTAGCTACTGTAGCATCTTTTTCAGCTAAAACATGCCTCTTTATTAGTGACCTGCGTTGCTCGTCCTGTATTTGGATGCACCACAACCCCTCAGGGCTTCCCAGGGAGAAGCAATGCAAAAATGGGTTAAAAAAGCTTTGCCTTGGGTCAGAGACATTTGCTGCAGAGTGGGACCCTACACCTAGCTGCGCTGCTCCCCTCCTCGCTCCCCGGCCATGGCCCTGTGCTGCTGCTTTGGCGGGACAACAGGAGCTGCCGGTTGACCTAAAAGGGTGACTTTCACCCCAGCGCTGGGTATGCTGTCTTTTCGGCATAACAAACCCTGTCTCTCGACTGACACCACATTTCTTCTGCCTTTCCAAGAGCAAGAGGCTGATGCTGCCTTCTGGCCAAAGCGTTTAAAAAGATGACAGGGATTTCATCCGCTCCTAAGTACTTGGATTTGCACTGCCAATATCGCTCTTGGCCATTATGCTTCACCGTGAGACCGTAAACCGGAGGCACAGGCAGCAGCAATCCTGCCTGCGCTGCCTACACAGATGGAGGCCAAAACCCGTCTGACAGAGGCTCCTGCAAAAATCCCCCCTCAAATGCCCCTCATCTATTTTTTACCACGCAGACAGCGCTGAGTTAAATATAAAGCCCTGGTCTGCTTTTAATAGATACCAAGCAGCCGCCTGCCGAGACGCTCGGATTAGCCCCTGATAAGCACAACCTGCTGCTGTCAGAGGGAACCTGCCTCCGTGTCCAAACCCAGGTTGAGCCAAGGGTTATCAGGGATTTGACCGGCCACCGCAGCCCCATTGCCGAGACGGGCTCGGTTAGTGAACACCGAAGCTGCTGGCACTGGGCACAGCTTGCATGGGGTCGGTGCATCCCTCCCGTTTGCCCCCCGGGCTCTTACCGCTTGTCGTCTTTGTACCACTGGAAGTCGGCGGAGGGGACGGCGGAGGCTTCGCACAGCAGGATGCCCTTCTGCCCCACCGGCACCCCGGTGCTCTTCGCGTCCGAGATGTACGGCGGGTCTGCGGGGAAGATGGGAGTCTGGGCTCAGTGCCTGGCAGCCCCGCGCCTCCCACCCGCTCCCCTTGCTCCTCAAGCTCCCCTTTCTTTCCCCGCATTTAGGAAAGAGTCAAAATCATCTCTGAGCCTGTGCCTAGCTCCTGCTGCTCTGGCACTGCTGTCCAGGGGGTTTTGGGCAGATGGGGGACCCCACGCTGCGGGCTTCTCCGAGGACCGGAGCCCCACGACTTTCGGGAACCACGTGGGACCCTGTGCCACCCCCATGAAGCTGAAGAGCTGGCCAGAGAGGAGTTTAGGAGGGTCTTCACCTCTGTCTCCGAGCACAAATCGTGCTGCTTTCTTCCTTGCTCCCTTTCTTTCTCTCTTGCTTTTTTTCTAAAGGAAAAAAATTCCTATTTACTGCTCACTTCTCTCCTCTCCCTGGAGGTTATCGGTACAGCATCTCACCATGGGCGGAAAACCCAGGTTGATGGAGACAGCTGAGGAGGAGGTGGTGGAAAAAAATGGAGCTTGAAAAGAAGGGGAAAAAAGGGCAAAACACCACCTGCTCAGAAAACTGCCGCTGCCTGTCTCAGCTCTGGGGCCCACAGGATGGGTTTGCCCCGCTTCACACCACCGAAGTCCCATCGCCTTGTGGGGTGGCACGGTGACCCGCTCCATCCCCGGTCCCCGACAGCCCCCAGGCTACTCACAGTTGACGGTGACTTTGACTCGCTGGACGACAGGCGCTGCCACGTCGTTGGAGGCGCTGCACTCGTACTCGCCCGACTGCTCCCGGGTGATGCCCGTGATCTCCAGGTACTCGTCCTCACTGATGAAGCCCACAGCTGCAGGGGAAGAGGGAGAGGGCTGTGAGTGATGGGGAGGCACGGCAAACCTGTGCTCACTGGCCGGTCACCATCTGCGACCGTGTCACACCTAGGACACCCACCCCGCAAGTCCCGGCTCCTGGCATGCCCACGCGCCTGTGCCCCACCGCCCCAACAAAAACCCTGCCAGAAATGTGTCTGCAAGCGCTGGACCTCTGCGGTGGCCCCAGCCCAGCCAAGCACATCACTTGCTGGAGATAACGTCCCCAACGTGCACAGGATGGGCAAAATGGTCCTCGCCAAACCTGCACCCTGCTAGAATAACCTGAAATCCTCTCTCCTTGGCATCTGGCACCGCCGGGCTCACCCAGCTCTACACAGACACCCCTCTAATTTTCCAGTTTCAGTTAACTCACAGCCAGTTTATCCCCATTAGCTGTGACGCCAACATCTCCCTTCAGCACCTGTGCCACTCCAGGCTCATCTCTGCGGTACCGTGGGGGGCCGTGCTCGCCCCCCTCTCCCCTGCCAGGGCTGCAGCACAGCTCCTGGTTTTGCTCAAAGCCGGGCAGATGCAATTCGACAGCCTTTCCTTTTGTCTGGCATCTTACAGCCTCCCCCTTCCTTTCCAGAGCCCGCTTCGCTTTGAAGCGCTCCTGGAAACCTACGGTGCTCGGCTGGCGAGGCGCAGGTGTTGGGCCGCGATAGTCTCCAGGTTGACAGAGATCGCAGTGTTACAACAAATGCAGAGTTAAATAAAGAAACCCGGCAATTAGGACACGTCCGCTAAACATCCCGGAGAAACACTGAATAAACAGCACGCGCGGGTTTTCAACAGCCCCCAAATGGGGACAACTTCTCCCTTCCTTTCGTTTACATCTCCCCATCGGATCTCCCGCAGCCGAGATGCTGTAATTACTGTGCGAAGCATCTCCGAGACCAGTGTCACACTTAATATTCCTATAAATTTTAAACGGTAGTCCTTGGTACATATGTGTGGCAATTGGTGTCATATTTTAATTAGGCTTGCCCTACACCATCTGAAATTAATAATAGCTCGAATTACCAGTGTAATTTATAAATTAACATTGCTGCAGCATTAGGAAATAAATTAGCTCTGGACAGCTGTTTCTGGGAGTGAGTGCCAATGGCAGAGAGGCCGAGCGCAGGTCCCTGGTCCCCGGGGGATGTGGCGAGCTCAGCCGGCGGAGCCGGGTGATCCCGCGCTCGCCCTCGCCTCCCATCCGGCTACCACGGTCTCTGCGCTAGCGTGACCCGATGGGCCACGGCTCGCCACGCTTGACCGGTCAACCGCATGCATCTCGCTCCTAACAAATGCACACAAAGTATACACGTGGGAGGCTCCCATTGGGGCACACACCGTCTGCATCCCACCGGCTGGTACTTTTATAGCATCTCTTCCCGCGGTACATAAAAATAGTGAGCACGGTCACATGCCACCGCCTGCCAAGGTGGCTGTCTTGAAAGCACGCGTACGTGGGGGTTTGCACGTGGGGCCTGGAGCCAGCACCGAGGCAATTTCTGTCACATCCCCGCACAGCTCGACACGGCGAGCTCCTGCGGTGGGCACCCGCTGGGATCCTGCTGCTGCAATCCCAGGTGTTGCTGTTGTCAGCTCAAACTACTGCAAATATGCTCAGCTGTAATGAAATCACACCTTGGCTCTCCCCTGCACCAGACCTCATGTCAGCCACCTCCACATGGCAGCCCTGGGACTTTGCACGGCCGCTGCGCTCTCGCACACTCGGCAGCTGAACCAAGGACCCTGTGGGCGCACATCCCACCATCCCGGGCTGACCCAGCTGGAAAGGCAGCCCCGCGCTGCCCTGCGAGCTTCGGAAAGGGTTGAAGTGAGTTTTGCTGTGCAACTCACCATCGTGAACTGCTGACGTCCACCCGTGCTGAAATTCCCACCCCAGCAGCTCACAGTCAAAACCGCTCAGCTCATCAGTACTTAGCACAACTGAAGGGCAAGATATGAAGGTGTTACCCCAAAATCAATATCCTTTGGAGACACACAAATTGCAGCGTTACATCCAGCGGGCCTGCAGCACTATGTGCTGCAAAAAAAGGAGAGAAGGGAAAAAAAAAAAAAAATCCCTTTTATGACTGACCTAGAATCAGCTTCTCTGTAGCACAGCGCTGCCTGCTGATAAAATAACGACACAGCCGGTGTCCTTCAGATGCTCTGCGCGCAAATCTGACTCCAGTTTGTGCAAAGGCTCAGATAACATTCTGCTTCCCAACTAAGCAAAGGCCCTTCCCCAAGCGTGCCGGAGCCAGCTAGCACACGGCAAGAATTAGCTCTCGCCGTAGCCGAGCTGTAGCGTGCGTCCCCAGTTTGATCTGGGAGCAAAGCAGCTCGAGTGCATTTCATTACCCAGCAAAAGACTTCATTAAAGTAACTGCGAGGGTCAGCTTTCCACCTGCAAAAGCTCAGGAAATTGAGAGATGAAGGTGTTCTCTGTGCCGGCGTAGCACTGAAGATACGTGCGTGGTAATCGGCCGATGGAGAAGCAGAGCGCAAAGAGTTCAGGGTTTCAGGGTCTGGCACAATTCGTGTCAGCTGGATTTCGGCTACAGCCCATCGACCCTGACGTGCAGAGCCCACCCCGGACCGAAATGGGGTGTTTTGCACCGGAGCTGATGCCTGCTTTTGCCCCAAGCACAATCTGGTATTACTCATGCTTAGATAACGATGACGATAGCATTAGGAATACCGTCCCTGCTAGAGGCCCTGGCCAGACCCTGCCTTGCCAGTGCCAGCTACTACACCTCAAGGAATAAGGCAACACAAGGGATCCCTGCCCCAAGGGCACTGCTTCCCGCTGGTGAAGGGGGCAATGCCAGGTGACCAGGACACCCGCCGTGTCCCCCGTCCCCTCCTGCAGGAAAACCGGGTCCGCAAAGCCGCTTCGCTGCTGCCCGTGCTGCCGGATCATGCCGGCACCCGTGTTGACCAAGGGGCGAAGGCGTGGCCCGAGAGTAATTGCCGAACTGCTCAGCTCCCTGGCCTCTGCATTTTTGCCTATTTATAATAGGAAGTCTTGTTGATAGTTGGACAATCTCATTCATGAGTGACTGCCAGGAATGGAAAAACAAATAGATGGGACCGAGGGAGCAGGGCTGGGGTTAAGCAAACACAATCTGTAAGTGCAGACCTTGCTTTATAGAAAGCAACAGGGTGCCCATGTCACTGTGGCTGCTGGGGTCCCCTCAGGGCCAGCGGGGCGCAGGAGGGACATTTATCTGCTTGCCGGGTTGCACGGGGACACAGATGCTGCTTTGGGTGAAGCTCAGCTCCCCAGGCAAGCCCCAGCCCAGGTTTTGGATGGGGGTTATTTGTCCCATCAGTCTCACATATATCAGCCCCTTTGGATTGCCCCCACTGCTTGCCCAAGGCTGGAGCTAGAGCAATGCAATGGGCACTCAACTGCCACGATCCCTGCCTCTGAAAGCACCCGGAGCTCGGGGATGCTTGGGGCAGGGCTGGCCCAGGGTCCCAGGGCCCAGGGTCCCAGGGTCCCAGGGGTACCAGCCCTGCTCCGCCTGAATTGATGGTAGGAATTTTTCAAGGCTGTCCCTGCTTGAGCACAATTAGGAGCTGAAATATTGCAGGAATTAATGGGAGAGCTCTTGTCTCCTCAGGAGCTAGAAAACCAGCACAGCCAGCACCCACCATTATTATTATTAATACTAATAATATAATACAGGCCAGAAATGGAACAGCCACAGACTAGGCAAAAGCGTAATCCTTGCTCATCAGCCAAGGATGATTAACTAACCCGGTGCAAGCTGGGGAGATGGAAAACCAGAGCTTGAATCCACCTGCTCGGCGAGCGGGAGCCTGTGCACAGACGGCCACACACTATTTAAGACTTGCTCTGCCAGACCTGCAACTCTGCAGATCTCCATAAAAACACTCAGGAAAGGAGAAGCACAAAGGAGCAAGGGGGAAAACTTAGCCCGGAGCTGCAAAATAGCCAAGACAGACTCGATGTACAATGAACAGTCGACATCATGAGCAGAGCTGGGGAGCTCGGCAGCATTCGGCGTGGCATTCGGCAGCCTCCAGCCAGAGAGGGCCGAGTGCCCCAGCAGCGAGCAGCCCGAAATACAGAGGTACAGATAACTGAACGATGTCTCTCGCGTGGCGCAGATAAGCCACTGTGGGTACATTAGTGGGCACACTGTAGGTACATTACACCGACAAGGGAGCATCGGTGCTGCACATTGCAAGGCTCCCGGCACAAGGGAGCTTGGCCGTCACGGCGGTGGGGGAGCCGTGGAGGCGAGATCCTGGTCTGGCACGGAGCACCGAGGCAGGCCCAACAGACGGCAAAGCTGCGCTTGGGGTCCCACACGGTGCGGGCAGATGTCTCGTACATCCATATTCCTCCCTCCTTGCCTTTCTCCTTCCCTTGCTTCTCCTCGTTTTCCCAGCCTGACTTGTCCCCCCCCTTCTGCCTCCTCCTACCCATTTGCTTCCACTGAGCCTCTGACAAGATAATAACTCACCGGAAAGCGAACACATGTTCCCAAATTAATTACGTGACACTGTCCCCTGGCTCGCCATTGCAGCCATGTTCAGGTCTCTAGGACACATCGCTTACGGCTTTCCCTGGCTGAACGCTGCCTGCGATGCCATTAAAAAAGCTTTGCTGAACTGGGAGCGAGGCGCTGCTCTCTGCCGCTGTGTCCTGCCAGCGACCCGTGGTTGCTTCTGTGCACCACACTACCTCCCTGAGGACCACAACCCTAACGAAGCACTCCCTGCCCCATGCCAACCGCACGGCACGCAGCACCCGGCAGCAATGGCATATCTTTCATGCTGCCATGTGCCCTTGCCAACTCCCTGCACCTCAGATCAAGGCGAACCAGCCCAGCCCTCCACAGCTGTGATATTTCCACCTCTAAAGCTCAAAGGCACAACCTCACCAATCGTCCCGCAGTGGGTTTGACCTCTGGATGCCCAAAGTCCCAGGGCCGGTCCCGAG